ACTGGGACATGTGCAACAGGTGCAGAAGGCTGACTCAAAGAAAACTGCGGAGCAACAAGAGCTCGGTACTGCTGCTGAGTAAGAACAACTGAATCGGAGTTCTGAACTCCGTTCTCAAGAGAAACAGACACATCAGTAGCCTTAGACTCACTAACTACAGCATTAACCCTAGCTTTCCCTTTGTAACCAGGAGGATAACCATGCTTCTTAAAGCATTTGTCAACAGTGTGACCAGTCAATCCACAGAAAGTGCAAACAGGACGTTTAGACTGACTCTTAAACTGACTGTTCTGAACAGCACAAGCCAAAGGATTGACACTAGCAGAAGTAATCACTCTGTTCTGACGCTCAAACTGTACAACAGTAGAGAAAACCTTGTTGATTGGAGGAAGAGGATCTATCAACAAGATCGAGGAACGTACAGACTCAAAATCATCACCAAGACCCCTCAAGAACCTAATAATCTGGTCAGATCTCGCATACTCAGCACAAGAACACTTAGGGACACAAGCACAGGACTTAATCGGCCGATAGGTCATCAACTCATCCCAAAGAACCCTAAGTTTAGTGAAGAACTCACTTACAGACATGTTACCCTGCTTGAGTGCGAACACCTCGTCTTGAAGGTCAGCGATGCGAACAAGATCTGCGATGCTGAAGCGCTCGCTCAGATCTCTCCAAACTTCGACTGCGGAATCGAGCCAGAGGACGCTCTGACCGATATCTGGAGCCAGAGAGCGAAGAATCCAGCCGAGCACCATCGTATCGCACTGCTGCCAGGCGGTGTAGAGAGGATCGCCCGGTGGCGGCGTCGGAACGGCTGGATCGATGAAGGCGAGCTTGTTCTTCGACAGAAGACCGAAGCGCATCGATCTCGCCCAGGAATGGTAGTTCGGCCCGGTGAGCACGATTGACACGAGCTGCGTCGTCGAGGAATCACCGGAGCTGATGTAGTAGGGGTGATTCGGCGCAAGCGCCGCTGCGAGAGGAATCGGAGGCTGGAACGAAGACGAAGTCGCCATCGTCGCGAAGACGAAACCCTAGATGGGAAGCGGAAGCGAAAGAAAAGAAGGGAAGAAGGAAGTCAGAGAAAATGCTCTGATACCATGTTATGAGAGAGAAACGGATCCAATTTTATTTCACCAAAAGTAAATTTACATTGTTCAGTTATTACATTTATATATTAGTTCTATTCTACTCTATTACAAAACAATACACAAAGTAAACAAATATTACAAATTGATCCTATCTATTCTATATACTAACACTTCATTGCCGATCTCTTGATTGATGGTCTATTGATAGAGGAGACAACAGGAATTTCTAGTGGGGATGGTCACCTGCTGCAACTTGGTAACCTTATTTGATTGACTCAATAATATAATAGGCGTTGATTGGTTAAATGTTTTGATTGGTTAGTAGTATCTGAAACTAATCCACCTAAATCAAACATGATAAACATTTAACCAAACTAAATTATCCAAATACTATAAGTTAAAACAGTTACCATAGTAAGTAGTAACCACTCTATTTGAACACCCCTATTATTACATCAAGAGGAAGATCATTTGACAATAAGGGGAGCGAGAGAGAGAGAGAGAACGAGAATGAGAATATGGATACGAAGAGGATGATTAAGAGCACAGTGATGGTATTGATGCAGAGTTGGAGTATTTCATTCGTCCCCTGGTGCTGGCATCCGACAATGATTCGTCTTGGAGAAGGTGAAGCGGTCATTGAGCTCCGACCTTGGTTGGCTAGTGACGAGAGAATAGTCCGAGCTTAAAGAGGTCATCAAAGATGATGATTGGTGGGACCTAATACAATGGCCAACAGTTTAAACTTTATAAGCTTTACAGACTCTTTCATCGATTTTTCTTTGACACATCTAAATATTTGGGGCTAATCATCATATGTAACATCTAATGGAGTCCATTTTCAACTCATTTCCCGTTTGATGAATGTATAACTCATTGGACATTTGATGCTAGTGAATTGCACAATAGAGGGCAAAAATTGATCCCCAATTGAAAACACTCATCATTGAATTCTGATCGATAGATCTTGTCACTCATAGAAATAAAGTGAAAGATAATATTGTAGATCCTTATACATGAAAGAATATATTTTATAACTTTGTTCGACGCTAATAAAATCTTCTTAATTAAGTGAGAGATCGATTTTAATCCATTGAGACAAAAAAAATAAATGTATGCATATATATGGGGTTTTCCTATCACTTATTTTACCAACTGAGCACAAGCTTGTTTACACCAAACAAAGACAACTTGATTAGAAAAGTATGCACACATAATTTTCTATGGCCATCAATAATATTTTTACGCAATGGAATTTTCATTTATCATAGTGGCACATGACATTAATATATCAGCATATATGAGTAAATCCATAATATAGGAATAACTTGTCAGTTGTCACATATATACGTGATTGTGTTCATTTCCACCTTAAGAAGTCTATATTTTCATTCATAGTATTATCTCTCGCTAATGTAGTAAGCACATAAAGAACTTGTTATTTTTCTAACATATCATAATATAAGTATTTTAGTCCACATAGTTCTAAGTAGTATAGACAAAATATTACATTGTTGGTGTTTTTAGTAAACGAAAGAGAGTTATTGAACGAAAAAACAAAGAAAGAGGGTTGCTCTTTGATGTCTCATTCTTCAATGTGCAACGAACTTGACATGAAAAATAAATAATAGTTTGATTTTTTAAACATTAAAACATTAAAATAGTTTTATTTTTTATTATGATTTTGTTTCAAACATTTATAATTGACTATAAAACAGATTACAAAGTAAAAATAAATAAAAAATATTTTTTAGTTTTAAATGATTTTTATTTTATTTTGTAAAAAATAACAATGTATGGTTTATGCATAAAAATCTAATTTATATAGAAATTAGAGACAATGTTTTAAAATTTAGTTGAATTTCAAATGATAAACTAAAGACAATGGTCAAATGAAAATCGTAGGGCTTACTAAATTCTATTTGGTAAAAAGTTACTCTATACCCGCCATAACCTAAGTTAAAGAACTCCGTCAAGATTTTTACATATTTATGAAAGTAGTATGTCCCCAGTAAATAAAATAGAACCACATTCTTGCCTTGAAATTATACGTAGGAGGTGGAAATGATGGTTTTGAATCAGCAAATAAATAACTTAGTTAGCTTCCAGTGAAGTGTCTCAAGTTAATTTCATGTCTAATTGTGTGAACACACTAAAAGTGTCAAACTGTCAATTAGCCTAGCACCCAAGGCATTAGTATTCCCATTCCCACCATCTAATAACTCCTAATCCTTTTCTCGCAGCAGACCATTTTAACTTAGACGTGGTTGACAAGAAAAGGCGAAAACCAATTTGTGGACTTCTTGACATCAGGATTCGATTGGTGGATGAGTGGCCGGTCGACGAATCCTCCGTCTTTCCTTTTCCCTTGTTGGCTGCTAGTGGTACGTACTCCAGGGCTCCACTTCCCTTGGCCGTTTCATTTGTGGTCGTGGTTTCTTTGTTTGTTAGTAAATTTTATACATGCAAGGAAGTGAAGTGATAGGATGCTTGTTCTCTTTTTGTTGTCTGAACTTTGTGCTATAAAGACCTTGGGGTATATTAAATGTGTTTGCTATAATGACTGCATTTGAGAACAAACTACCGAAAATAGCAAAGCCTTTTTCCTTCGTCTTCCTAATTCTTATGTTGGTGGTTTCAACTGCTGTTAGGTATAACAAGAGCATAATATATACATATTGTTTTTTTTAATAATATTATTATTGATTTGCCTAGATGTCCAATATGTATATAATTAAGTCGTTGGGATACAAGAATATACAAAGTATCATAATTAGACCTATTTTAGTTAAAATAGTGTATCTGACACGAACTGCCTACTAAATTGATGAATTATTTTATTTCATTGAATTTGATGAATATTAAACGACATAATATATTTGATGTAACCGTATAAAGACGAATATAAATTATTTCCATATGAGTCCACTGAAAATTTCGTTAATTAATTTACTATAAATATGATAATTTAAAATTTATAACATGGAAATACTCTCTTTTGACCTAGTTAATTAATGTATGGATCACTTAAAAGTTACTATATGTTCCACTTTAAAGTTTCTTGTCTCGCACTTTTTTCACTTTGGACATATATATTTGTCTCAATATTCCCTTACAGAATATATATTTTCATCATAACTCTTCAATTTTTGCCCATTCTCGTCAATCTCATTTTTCAACCATGCAAAATTTTCACTCAAACTCTTAAATTATGTGAAAGTAAGTAATGTGTGTGAATGTAAGTAAATATGCATTAATATGTTTTTGTAGAATTGCAGAAAAAATTAACTTTGGGAACATTTCTATCGCTTATTGCCAACTTCATTGAGCTCCTAATATATCATAGTAGCTTTACTTATATTTCTCCTAGTTCTATGACATATATGATTGTATTTTTTAAATAATCTATTTCATATGAACCCTCCACTTCTTGATAAATACAAGCATTCACACGATCATAAAAAAAAATCTTTGGCACATTTCTATCGCTTATTTTGAAACTCTTTGAGCTTGTAACATGTCAGAGTAGCTCTCTTCTACTTCTCATTGTTTTATTTTTTATTTATATGATTGTATTTTGGTGTTAATCCATTTGTTATGGACCCTCCACTTTTGGATGAACACAAGCAATCACACATTCATAAAAATAATAAACTAAATTTGACAAAACAAATGAATTTTTTTTTCATCCCTAGCACAGGAAACCTTCTCCAATCTTTAATATATTGATATGCTGCAATTCATGCACGAGGACTATTTAGAGAAATTCTTGACTATTTAAGTCATTGTTGCCAATACGGTCTTTCCACTCAACTCCTTCTTCTCTCCCAAAGTGCCAACCAGACTAAATCAGCCATGGCGCTCCATAACAAAGAAGAAGAAGAAGAAGAACCCCACGTCCTAATGGTAGCATTCTCAGCGCAAGGACACCTCAACCCAATGCTCCGACTCGGCAAACGCCTAATCTCCCACGGCCTCCACGTCACCATCGCCACCACCCACCTTCAACCCGGCCGCCGCCTCTTCAAACCCTCCTCCTCCTCCTCCTCCTCCGCCACGGGCCGCGACATCGACTTCCTCTTCTACTCCGACGGCCTCGACGGCCGCAAGGTCGACATCGACACCTTCATGGACTCCTTGTCCCAACACGGGCCCACCAACCTCACCAAACTAATCCACCAAAATTACCATACCGCCCCCGCGGACGCTAACAACAGCAAAACGCGGCGGCGGCTTTGCTGCATAGTCAGCAACCCTTTCGTCCCCTGGGCAGCCAACGTGGCACACGACCTCGGCATCCCCTGCGCCATGCTCTGGATCCAGCCTGTCGCCCTCTACGCCGTCTACTACCGTTACTACCGCAACCTGAACCCGTTCCCTACCTCAACGGACCCCGACCTGACCGTCAACCTGCCCGGGCTGCCCCCGCTGCGAACCGAGGACCTCCCGTCCTTCGTCCTGCCCACCAACACCTTCGGCGCGTTCTCCAAGCTGTTCTCCGAAATGTTCGGAGCCATGGAGAAGCACGTGTCGTGGGTTTTCGCGAATTCGTTCCACGCGCTGGAGGCGGACGTCATCATCAATTCGTCGAAAGATCTCTTCCCGGTCGTCCCCGTGGGCCCACTCGTGGACCCCTCGCTTCTGGGGAAGGGAGAAGAGGAGGAAGCGGACGGGGCGGTCAACCTGTGGGAGGTTGACCACTCCTGCATGGAATGGCTTGACGAACAAGCAGCCGGGAGCGTGGTGTACGTGTCATTCGGGAGTCTCGCCACGTTATCGGCCGACCAATCGGCCAGCCTGGAGATGGCTCTGAAGGAAGGGAGGTGGCCGTTCGTTTGGGTGGTGAAGGGGGCGGAGGCCGGGGAGCTGTCCTCGTCGAGCGGAGGAGGACAAGGGATTGTGGTGGCGTGGGCCCCACAGACGAAGGTGCTGGCCCACCGGGCGGTGGGATGTTTCGTGACGCACGGCGGATGGAACTCCACGTTGGAGGCGGTGGCGGCGGGGGTGCCGATGGTGGTGTATCCTCAATGGTCGGACCAGCCGACCAACGCGAAGCTTGTGGAGGATGTTTTTGGGGTGGGAGTGAGGGTTAGGGCAAATGGAGACGGGAGGATGATAATTGGGAGTGAGGAGATGGGGAGGGCTATACGGGAGGTTATGGATGGGCCAAAGTCGGAGCAGATTAAGGGTAACGCGAGGAGGTTGAAGATAGCGGCGGGGGAAGCCGTGGCCGCCGGCGGAGAAGGGACGTCGGAGGTGAGTGTGAGGAAGTTTGTGGACGAGATTGTTGGGAGGTCGTGTTCATCGAGTGGGCCATGTTGTGGTGGGGAAGGGATTAGTTAAAAGAAGTGGCAGAGTATTATTTGGCAAATAAACAGTGTACGTAATGTGTATTTGTATGTGCATAATAATGTCTATAAGAAAAATATACATCTCAGAACAAAGTAATTAGTCAGTGTTAAAGTTTTATTCTTCATATTGCGGGACATTCCATATAGAGTCCGAGTGCATGGTTTATATTATCGTATAAACTAATTATTATTCTGACTGTTGTGATTGATACATGGATTGTCCAAACATAATGAATTAACAGTTAAAACTTAGTCTAAACATTGAAAATCAGCTGTTAATGTATCATGTATGACTTTCATTCACAAATCTTAGACATAAAATTTCGAATACAGACTTTATAAACCACCACAAGAAAAACGACTTCAAAGCCATCTACGAGGACATGAGTGAAGATTAGATAAATGAAATATCACGAGTGTATATGATCGTTTTAGAAATTTAAAACATAAATATTTTATAGAGGTAGCCCAAAATACAATAAAGAGTTGAATGTCTTAAAGTAGCTGCATATTTCTAACACCAAAGACTGCAAAACAATAATAGTATATATTGTGTGCTTGGTTAGGAAATTAGTCTGCATTAAATCGAACTATCATAAATTTATAAAATAACACGTGAAAATCTTAATACTTTAAAAAATCTCATTATTTTTAAATAAATGTGTGACAAATAATATCGATTTTATGCTTGGGGAATGCCCAGAGAATATGGTCTAAGCTAGTTCATATACACTTCAGTCAGAGTAGGCAAAACATAGTAATGCTTCCGTGGTAACTGTTATAATTTTTTCTTGATAAGATATTGGAAGAATTCATTATTATTAAAAAGTGATGATTAACTTGACAATTGGCTTTAATGACACTTTATTTAGGATAACACCTTTGCCAGCACTCTTCTCATTAGGCACGAGTAGCAATCCATAGAAGAGGAGGACAAGCCATGTTGGAGCTAGACACGGAAGGATTCATCATCGATACTTGTATCAATGGTGATTTCGTTCCTCTCCTTTATATTGATTGTCGATCTGTTTAGGGATAATAAGAAGCTTATCTCATTCTATGTTATGATCATCGATGCTTGCTGCTTTGGATGCTTTATTGTATTCGCGATGCTATCATCCTTTTTTTGTGTATGATCATCGATGCTTTATTTCATATGATGTTTTAATACTCTATGTGTGTGACCCTAACATGATGTTACTATAGTCATTGTTTATACTACTATTATGGGAAACAAGGAAACTAATCTCGTGTAGAAGGCATCCTTCTTAGGCGCCTATAGGAGGATTAGTTACCCTTCTATGCATGGCTAAGGAAGATGCTTGATTCTTAGATCATCAATGTTATAGACTAAATTTATGTTTAGTATAAGCCCACAATTTACTATATGATATTCTAACTTCTTTATTCTTCATTGATTAGTTGATGACATGAAGCGTAAGCATGCTTGAGCTAGTCAAATCTCTATCGCAAGAGACGCATGCACGGATAGAGAGTGGCATTAGAGGAAGGGATAGGGCATCATCGTAGAAGATGGATAGATGAATCTTATTTAGAAGATCGTATGGATGATGATCTCGGAGATACCTCAACATTACTTGATTGCATCCTTGTTTGTTTATTTTCTTGCATTAGTAGTGTAGTACACTAGTAGATGGAACCTCAACCCATTTAGGTTTACTTTCTTGCATTGCATGCCTCGAATACATTAGGTTATGTTTGAGTAGTTGCTATGGAAAGACCATGGGGAATATGACCCTAGACACCTCTATGAATTTTTCACTTGAATACAACATCAAGTTTTTGGCCATCCCCCATAAATGCATACTCCAGGTGACCGTGGGGGGGGCTTAAGCTCAAGCTCGGATGGATCCCCTAGAAATGTGGAGATCCGCGGAGAGTGGGGATCAATTTGAATGGATTCTCGCGCTCCTGGAACATACCTCCATTTAATGCTGACAACTGCTCCTTTAGCTCCGGCTTTGTGATGCATGTTTCCATAGTAAAAGACAACACTAAAGGGGATCATTAGTGCTCGCACTCGTGAAGGCAAGTGCGGTCTCAAAATAAGAAATGACATCACAGTAGTCAAGATCAATATGCAGGTGGAAATTCTTAAGATTGTCACCCACAAAAAATGTAACTTGTTCTCCTCTAGCCCGCAAAATCAACTTGCCATCATTCACATCTATCAATGCCTTGACGATGACAAGATAGGGTCTACCATAAATCAAAGGAATATCTACATCCTCATTTATATCAAGTATCACAAAATCAACATGATATATGAATGGCCCGAATGTGACAAGCAAATCTTTTGCAATACACCTTGGATGCACAATAGAATGATTAGCCAGTTGTATGCTCATCCTAGGAGTATTGGGTTCACTGTGTCCTAGCTTATCAAACAATTTATATGGCATTACGTTTATGCTAGCACCTAAATCCGCCAAGGATTTTCCTACATGCATGCTACCAGTAATGTAAGTGATAGTAAAAATCCATGGGTCTGTTCTCTTCTCTGGTAGCTTGTTCTACAGGATGGCAAAACATTGTTCATTCTACATCAGTGTCCATAGCTCCCCAAGCTTCTTTTTGTTGGGGAGAAGGTTCTTTATGAATTTGGCATACTTGGGCATCTTTGATAGTGTCTCCATGAATGGCATGCTAATATTAACCTACTTCAACATTGCCATGAAGTTGACAAACTCGGTCTCCAGCTTGTCCTTGTGCATGCGATTTCGGATGGGAAGTTAAGGAACATACTCCTTCACCGCTGGTTGTGTTTTATGAGTAGGCGCCCCATCCTCCTACTGTAAGCTTTCTTTAGTATCTTGGGCTTTTGGTGCTGGATGTTCAACCTCTAAAATATCTAGAACAAGGATATCAACAGTCTTTTTTCTCCTCCGGAGGGAGATGGCCTTGTAGTGTGTTGGTGGATCTCTAGGATTTGGGATAGTGTTGACCAGCAGAGTGCCTAGAGGCATGTTGGCCACAAATTGGGCCACATTTCCAATATGAGTTTAGAGATCCAGAATATAACGTGCCGGTGTCAATGGTCAGCTTTGAGATCTGTGAACTTCCTCACAGCCAGTTTCATTAACTGGTCCATTTTATTGAACTTCCTGGCACTAGTGCTTGCAAAACTGTTCACCAGGTCCTGCATCTTAGACATCTTGTATTGCTGAGGTTGAGTTGTGCTCCTATTCCCTAAGCCTGGTAATGAGGCTGGTTGTGAAAGGATTGGCCCTAGTGGCTGATAGGGTTGCCTCTGGTGATATCCTGGATGGAAGTCTGAATTGTGGGAAGGCTTGTTCCCTTAGGAAATGGATGAGGCATTCCATTTCTTTAACCCTTGTGGAAAAGATTCACACCACTAGGGGTGGCAGTCGTTCGGTTTTGGTTTAACCGAAAACCGAAAACCCGGTTATCGGTTAAACCGAGCCACCCTCTATAGCTGCCGACCACCGACCGAAGAGAGGTCACAGTTAGCTGGCCAACCGACCGGTCGGTTCCAGTTTTAGGCTCGGTTAGCCGGCCAACCGAAAAAAAATACATTTTAAACAAAAAAAAAATTAAGAAACCAAATATTCTGCACCACTAATATCGAACCTTATCTCCTCCTCTCCCCTTCCTTCCTCCACCAGACATCTCTCCTCTCTCCTTCCTTCTTCTTTCTCTCACCTTCTTTCTCCATGGAAACAGATCTTCATGGAAACAAATCCGCAGGCGAGGCGAGGCGCGGCGAGTGGAGAGGCAGCACGAGGAAGGAGGTAGAGACGGAAGGAAGTGGCGAGATTCGTCGGCGACCAACGATCGGGGAGGAGGGAGGTGGCGACGAAGACGGCGAACTCTGCTGTCTCCCTATCTCCTGCTCGACGACGGCGAGCAGCGCCGAGCAAGGCGAAGGAAGGCCGAGGTGTGGGCGAAGGTGGATGAGCAGAGCGGCGGGCGGAACAAGCATGGTGGCGGAGGAGGGACGAGCGCGGTAGTGGACGCAGAGAATCGTCGGGCTGACGGCAATCGAAAGGTTCGGGAAGAGTGCGGCGCGGGGAGGGGAGGTATGTCTTCGTTTTTGGGAAATAGGGTTTGAGTTTTGAGATTTCTGATGGGTAAGGAGGGAAGGTTAAGTGGGGTTCGGTTGAGGGTCGGTTAGTCGGGTAACCGCGGTTAATCACCTACGGTTACTTGGCTAACCGTTCCCTCCCTTACCCCATTCGAACACCGACCGCCATAAAAAAATACCGGTTTTCGGTTAGCCGCTAACCGGCGGTTACCAGTTAGACCGACCAGTTAGCCGCTAACCGAAAACCGAACTGCCACCCCTACACACCACTATGAAAATGCTCATCCTCTATCCCCTTTACACACTTTATTGAGTTAGAAATCGAAAGAAGGGATTAAGGCGTCATGGGAAAACAAGGAATTCCAAATCAGCGCGAAAAAATTGGCGGCCTGTATGGAGGAAATTCGCAGAACTAGACGAAATCATATTTTCCAAAGTCCTGCTGCAAAATCCTCACTAGGTTAGGGGGTGAGGATGTTGTTATGCCCCTACTAGCAGAAATCTCGAAAATGCCAAAACCTGTTCAAGCATTAAGAAGTCTTATCATTAATGAAAAGCCCTCTAATTTTGAGACACGAGTGCTTACCTCCATAGATGTACCACCAGACTCATAAAATCACCATTAAAAGAGCTCGATCCGGGGAGATTAAGGATTCCGTGCAACATTAATGGGCACTACATACCAGATGTGCTTATTGACACTGGATCTAGTGCTAATGTTATGCCCATTGCTAGTACCTAGCAATAAGGGAGGCGAGATAGAAGGTGTGCCTCTCAACCTTCTATTAGCGAATGGATCCGTCCGTGAGGCAAATGGGGTGCTGCAAAACATCAAAGTCATCATCAATCCTTTGATCTTCAACTGCGACTTCGTGATAGTCGGATTGCAGCGCCACCAAAAGAATGAAGCACTCTTAGTAGCACCCTCCTCGAGGCAGTAAGATGGATCCTCGACATGCCAGAGAGAAGGTTCACCTGGAAACTAGAAGAACTAGAGCATCACATTTCAATCCCTCAAGCTTTGAATAATAATCGAATGTTCTTTGAGGGTTTAGGATTACCTTTACGTGAAGAAGTGGGTAATGTTACCATCTCTCATCATTCCATGATGTGTGAGACTAGGTATGACCCATAAATCTAGGGTCGACCAACTTTATTGACAATATTCCCAAAAATGAAAGACAAGGGTACTTTGATTTAGTGTCTTTACGTTAGATAAGCCATGGTTTCCTCCGAAGTAGCACCCTCTCTTTAATGCCTTAGACCTAGGCAAAAATAGTGCCCTTTTCTATTGATTAGACCAATGAAGGTCTAGGAGCCATTCCCAAAGTGATCATTTGGTTCGGGTGAATCGAGGAACGAATCAAATGCAAAGTTGGAAATATTAGGTGACTCGTAAACAATAACATGAAAATTACGTGCGAACTCTCACTTGCTATTCGAGGATAGCGAATTCCCCTCGTCAAATTCCATAGTGGGGAATTCAAGCTTTTTTTCGTATCGATTGGAAGTGTCTAGTTGACACATTCCCCATATTCTGGCATAGAAATTTTAGAAGAGTCACAATGAGATTCTATGATAGTATATCTTGATTTTCGATCGTAATCCTATTTCTTGTCTTCCACAGTAATCATCTAGATAGTATGCTCTGTATTTTTTATTCTCATTGCAAGTTGATGCTTATGAACGTTGATCAATTTACCGGAATTAGCTAACAACGGTATCTCAAAGATGATAGAGTAGTCCCTATCTCTATGCATATTGAGTACTACAAAGTCGAGAGAGAACAAGAAGGGTCATAATGAAGTCGAGAGAGAACAATAAGGGTCATATCTCCACCTTCAAATCCATTGCCTTCCCAAACGGTTTACAAACTGAGTTGTCGGCCAAGGAAATGGTCTTGTTTGTATTCTCTAAGTTGAATTTGCCAAACAACCTAAAGATGTTAAAGGACATATAGTGTTAAGACTAGACCCTAGATCGATAAGCGCTTTCATCTCGTGTTGATCATTGATGACACATGGGTTATGAATTGACCCAAATCGGGTAGCGTTCGTAGTACTAAGAGTTTCATGTGGGAAGGTATGTCCCCCGTTTTGAGCATGAGAGACCGCTCACGATCATGCTCAAGAAGCTGCCTTATTGCTCTTAGGGATCAAACATCTCTATAAGGGCTTCCAAGGTTGTTATGGCAACTGCTTGATCCCCTACGACAACAATGAACTTGTTGAGCACATTCTAACTAGGACCAATGAATTGCTACCACTACAATACTATCCTAGTCTCATATCACCCCATGAATTCGACAGTGAACCCGTCATCTTTGAGGAAAAACACATTTTAGTAACAAACTTCATGGGTTGCTTGTTGACTTCAGGAATTGGAGACCATGATCTTGCCAATGTGTGCGAGTCACGCAAATCCTCTTGGAAGTGTGGAGACTTCACGATTTTCTTTCCCACTGAACGATCTGCCGCCCGTGATGATAGCACCAAAATCTTGGTCCTCGCACTTTGTCCATTTGCTCCCTCTTGCCATCTTTCGTCCAACTTTTGATCCCAGTGCCAAGATTGCCTGGTAAGGTCTGAAACCTGACACAACACGAGCCAACCAAGCGTAAAATAGCTTTAAGGATGGTGCAAACCAAGACAAATGGTGCAATGTAAGGAGTATAAAAGTGTGTAATATCATCCAAATCAGCAGTAGATTGTTTGACTGGCTACAAGTCATGTACTGCCAGCACACAAGTTGAAATTCAAACCAGTGAAGGGCAAAACGGGGAGAAAGAAATATGCAAAAAAGTAGTGCTAAAGTAAGATAAATTTGCGTTTCTTCATTAACCTACACGTCCCCTGCAAAGACGCCAAAAACTTGACTCCCAAATACTAACACCCTAAGAAACAACCAAGTATAATTGTACAGATCAATGAATCGATTAACTCTCATAAAATTGATTCACTACTTCAAATTCATGTTACTCTATTTACGTATTCAGATACTATCATTCTAGGTAAAAGCACGAATCATACAAACATGATCATGGTTCATATAATCCTGATCAATGCATCATTTAAATATATAATCATCAATGTCATGGATATGGGTTCATCCAATTGCTCCTAACATACAAATCTAGGGGTTTTCATACCCAAGTGGAAGAGGAGCTTACTCCATGGAGAAAGAGGAAAACCCAATGCTAGAGAGGGAGATCATCATGTGAGTGAGTGAAATCTTCTCCAAGTGATCAATCGGTACTCTAGGAGTGAATGATGGAGCTCCAATGGTCTTAGGTGATTGGAATCAGCTCCCAAGGTTGTTATTCATCACTTTCTCTCTCTAAAGGTCTCTTACGCTATTTAAGATGTTGGAAAATCGAAATTTGCGCGAGTCTACCCTTTATACTCTGGACATCAGCGAGTTACGCCCTTAACTCCTTTAATTCACCCGTAATTTGTGCTAAAACGTTGGCGTTGCTATAGATCATAAACAAAGTGTTACAGTCTCCTTTTTCAAGTTACGGGCTTGGCCATAACATTAGAGATGCCTTCTGGAACTCCCGTAAAACTTACAAGCTCCAATGGAAGAGTTACGGGCCTAGCCAAAACTTTCAAACCTACTTTCAAACACCCCTCTGTTTCTTCAGAAGGAGTTACGGGCCAGGCCATAACTTCGAGGTCCTGGTCGTAACTCCTCTCTGCTCTGCCATAGATGTGCTCCAAACTGCATGAAACTTGCTCCATAGCTCCCATTTAGTACTAAGACCTAAACATCACAAATGTGCACAACCTAGCATAAAATCGGCTTAAAATGCAAGAACATGATAAAAAATGCTCGAGAAATGAGGGAACAAATATGTGTAATTGAAGCGTTATCACCATCGGGGATGGTCTTACTCCCAAATGTCAAAAGATACATACGATTTAATTTGGTAATAATTTTTACCTGTGAAAGGTCCAGTCCTTGGGAAAGAATCCATGTTTTAGTCTTCCAAGAAAAGAGCTTTGCAAAGCATCCACGGACAAGGTCTCGATATCTTTTAATTCTTCGACTTAGTAGACAATGTAATTGAACATCTCTTAGAGAGTTCTCAAAATCTTTTCGGCTATATTTCATCTATATGTGTAATTGAAGAGTTATCACCATCGGGGATGGTCGAGAACATGATAAAAAATGCTCGAGAAATTAGGGAACAAATATGTGTAATTGAAGCGTTATCACCATCGGGGATGGTCTTACTCCCAAATGTAAAAAGATACATAAGATTTAATTTGATAATAATTTTTACCTGTGAAAGGTCCAGACCTTGAGAAAGAATCCATGTTTTAGTCTTCCAAGCAAAGAGCTTTGCAAAGCATCCACGGACAAGGTCTTGATATCTTTTAATTCTTCGACTGAGTAGACAATGTAATTGAACATCTCTTAGAGAGTTCTCAAAATCTTTTTGGCTATATTTTCATCGATCATATGTTCTCCATAATTTCTCATTGCCTTTACAATCATCGTAACACTATCAAAGTATACATTCACAAATTCACTTTCTTATGTTTCTAATACCTAAAAATTCCTTCACAGTGCTTGGAGATATGATTTATGGATTCTTTCATTCTCGTGACACTTGGTTTTCATGGAGATCCACATATCCTAGGTTGTTGCTTTTTTGGTAAGTGTCTTCAAGATGCTCATGTTAGTTGACCTAAATAGGAAATTAAGTCCTTCATACACTTTTCCTCCAAGGTTTCCAGCTGAGTTGATGACAACTCTTCCCCCGCTACAGGTTCCTTTAAACCATCACTCACCACTATCAAATATTCCTTGGCTTCTTCAACCCTTAAAATTAAGACACATGACCAACAGAATTTCACAGAACCCAGATGAAAAAAATAAAGAGTTTGAGGACTAAAAATGAATTATACTAATACAACAAACTTTACTCAAATTTAAATGAACTTATTCTTTGGCACCAAAGTCCTTCCTGACCATGGTTCAATCTTCAGCTACAACAAGCTCCTGGCCAAGAATTAACAATAACCTTTCCAAATTATCAAATATCAATTAGGGCATCACACAAGCCATCAATTGCTAGCTGCAGTAGGGATTAGGCGTAGTAGCTCTTTACTTGAGATGGAGAGTCCAGACTGTTTCGTCAAATCTATGTGTTGAAGTGTTATGGGAAGTTTCCAGTCAAAATGGAAGAGCAAATTGGCCAGGCCTAGTTGAAAAATAGCCATTCCGAATAACATGCCAGGGCAAATCCTTCTTCCAGCACCAAATGGTATATACTCGAAGTGTGCTCCTTTATGGTCAATAGAAGAGTTCAAGAACCTCTCTGGGCAAAACTTTTCGGGATCAGTCCAATAACTAGGATCTCTTCCAATTGCCCACGCATTGACTATCACTCTAGTTTTAGCAGGGATAACAAAACCATTGATCTTAATGGTCTCCCTCGTTTCTCTTGGAAGTAGCACAGAAGTAGGAGGATGCATTCGCATGCTCTCTTTGATCACTGCACCTAAGTAAGTTAACTCATGGAGCCGGTCTTCACAAACGTTTCCCTTGTCACCAAAGACTTGCCTCACTTCTTCTTGTACTAGTCGTAAAACATTTGGGTTTTGAATCAACTCAGACATTGTCCACTCCATTGTGGTTGCTGATGTTTCCATACCACCAATGAAAACATCCTGGTATGATCACAACAATATCAATTAGCAATATGGTAACAATGATAAAATAATAATGTATCTAGCTAGATAACAGGTATGAATGTGTTGATACTAACAAGAATGACGGCTTTGATGTCGTCAGTTGTTAAGGGAAGTTGGAGGCCCCCAGTCCGTTGAAGATTGAGTAGAATGTCCACAATGTCTTCTATTTCATCATCATCATCATCACTATGTTGTTGTCGTTTTCTATCTGCTTTGACTCTGTGTTTTTCGATGATCTTCTCAAGCAATGAATCTGCTCTCTGATGAAGTGTCATGAGCTTGGCTTGATAGCCTGTAATGACGGGGATGAATTTGAGGGAAGGGAAAAGATCTGACAATCCAAAACCTCCAAGTGCCTCCGCAATCCTCTCAACAACCGCCATGAATATTTCCTTATCCGTCTTCTGCAGCTTGCCAAAAGCTGACCTACAAGTACGAAAGGGAGGGGCAGAAAGAAAGAAAATCTCAAATGTCGGATATATTAAGAATGATGGATGGGAGTGTGCCGAAGCATCCAATCAATTTTGAAAGAAATATTCTATAAATAAGATATGATCTAGTTTTTTACGATATAATAAAATTAAAATTTTGTGACACCTTATAATTTAAAATTATATTATAAAATATAAATTGTCGTGTTATATGAGTTTTTATTATAAGCACTTTCTTTTATAAGCGTAGTGTTATATGAGTTAAATTGGCACTGAATGTTTAAAGACTAAGGTTAAAAACATTTAAAGAATGTTTTCAAAAATCATTTCATATTCGAATAAGAGTGTGAACCTATATGATGTGCATTACACACTTTACAGATTTTATCAATATAAACTCGTTAAAATTGTTAACAACCGTTAATAAATCAATGGCCCGTAACACTAATTTTATAAGTAACAAATAATTACATGAAAAAATAAAAATTCTAATCATATATATTCTTCACAGGAAGAGACAGTAGATAATTAAATTGGAAAATTTAATTTGTTCCATGTATATGGGAAGTAGAATTTGATAGTGAATCAAATTGGGAGAAGTCAAAAATTTTATTTTTGTGAATTAAATTGGGGAATTAATTTGATATGAAAAGTGAATTAAATTGGGTCCATTACTTTGGGGACCCAATATGGTGACAATACCAATTATGTTGTTAGGGTAACAACATTAGTAATTCAACCAATAGGAAATTAGACTTGTGATTACTTTTTTATTAGTTAGGTTGACTAAATTTAGATATAAATTTTTTACAAAGGGGTGTAATAATCTTTTTGAATATGATATTTAAATTAACAAAACTAGTGGTAAAAAACAAAAATAAAATATTTTTTAAAGTTTTTCATTTTTCGGTCGCCGAAATTCGGTCAATGTGGCAGGAATATGCTCACTGTCGTCAAAATCCCTTCCCAATGATCGAAATACACTCAATGTGGTCAATATATACTGTATGCCATCGGAATCTGGTCACTATGGCCGTCATATGCTCACCGTCGCTTAATTTGGGGTCCTGTAGCGAGAAATGCTTACCAGCACCAGAATTCGGTCAATGAATGCGGAGTTCGGTCACCAGACACAGAGTGTGGTCACAGGTCGTCAAATTTTGTTCAACGAACACCGCATATTGTGGTCTGAATTTTCTGATTTGTGGTTTAAATATGTTTTTGGTATGTTTTTGAGGAGATCCTGGTTTGCTTTAAGAGATTTGTGATATGCATTAGGAGGTATTTAGCGTGCTTTATAAATATTTGTGATATGATTCATGGTGTTTATCGTCTGCTTCATGAGATGTGTCCTAAACTTGTATATTTAATAAGCTCATCACTAGGTTTGAAATATTTGAGAATCAGTCTATTGTGGGTTCTTTGTTAAATTTTGTATTGAACAATAGAAATGAATAAATGATATTAGATATTTGTGAAAAACAATAAACTACAAAATATAATATAATTTCAATTATAAAGTGGTAAATAGCCATGAGTTATTCACCAAACTCAACTTTATGCATATCTTCTTACTTAACTTTAATCCCTTCCTCGATCACCCTACTCAATAGCTAGTTAGTGGGACATGATTGTTAAGTCAATGACATGTCGGCCAGTATAACTAGGTTCAACCAGTATTGGACATAAATGAACTAGAATATGCCTGGTATGAGGTGATCGTCAATACTAATAAAAATCAGTCAATAGTGAAAAATTAGCATAACCAATTTATGATCACCGAACATAATGACATCGTATTGGTGAATTTAATTAAGAAAAATAGGTGTATTTGAATATGATGATTTTAATTTTATCTAATTATGAATGTTGATGTTATTTGGGGTATTCAGTATAAATGTTTGAATCTTTATATTAAATACGTGTAGTGTTGCTAGTTTCTCAGTTTTCCTATATAATTCGTTAAAACTTACATGTACCATTTGTACCTCGATCGGACAATATCACTTGCTAAACCGCGTAACGACATAAAATTATTTGATTGGGTCCATATAACCTTTTATTATTGGTCAATAATACATATAAGTTTCTATGTTAATCTTGAACAAATTTCCATTTTTTTAATATATTATTTGAAAATTAATCTAGCGAGGATATAATTGATGCTATAGAATGGGGAGCGGAAAGGGTGCAAAAGTACCCCTATCTGCAAAACAACATCTCCATCCATCCATTTTAAGGAAATCTAGTGACTCAAATTAATTCCCAATAAAAAAAACCCTATAAGGACATAGGTAATTTTAGTACTATCATAACATGTGTTGGTTGTAACTCTTCAAAATATGTGTCGGTTTTAGTACTATCACGATCATATTAATCATATGATCACTATCATATCATTATATGATACTATCACTATAATATAATGATAATATCAATAATATCATTTGTCATATTATAATGATATATCTATGATATAGTGATTATATCGATCATATGAGTCTCATATCAAATCATATCAGTGCCATATAATGAGATTGTCACTACAATATAGTGATAATATCAATCATATTAGTGTCATATCATAATATCAATCATACCACTATTAGTGGTTATATCATGATATAATAGCGATATGATTACATTATAAGTTTTGCTGCAAAAAATATCAAAATAGATATCAGCTTGCAGAGCACAAAAATCTGTTATTTTTTTAATCCGAAGTAAAATGAATAAACTATGGTCCATTGTATCTTTGTTGGAGATTTGAAAATGACGTTTACACCGTCTGAAAATCCGCACGCAGGTAAGGAAAGAGAAGAGTGAACACATATCATACAATGCATTTGCTCGCACATGAACAAAACTGGAGTTATTTTTGGGCAAAATACACTTTCATAGCCATAACTATTCGCGTTGTGACAAATATAGCCACTTTTTGAAAAATACACTCGTATAGCCACTTTTTAAAACTTGTTTGCTAAATTTAGCCATTTCCGTTACAAAACTTTAACACCGTTAACTCTCCAATGATGTGGATGTACACGTCATCAAATGTATGACACGTGACAGCCACCTCAATTTAAATGATTATTTTAAATAATTTCCTTAATTATTTTATTTCACCACAATTCTCCCTTTCAGAAAATACTCTCCCTTATCTCTTTTCCCTCTCTTCTTCTCCACCACACAGCAAGAAAATTTTGACGAAGATGGTAGAAGCCGACGATATGCTACGAACGGGAACCTTCTAGATCCGCTTCTTCGGGTGGGTGGAGAGGCCGACGATCTTGTTGCGGAGGCGCTTGGACCCATTTTCGCCGTCGAAGAGAGAGAGAGAGAGAGAGAGAGAGAGAGAGAGGAGGAGGAGGAGGAGGAGGAGGAGAGAGCTTAACCTAGCTGTGAATTTTAGGCCGCCAGTGGGGAGAGTGAAGAGGAAACTTCTACTGGGGAGGATTCAAGACATTTGAATTTGAATTTGGATCCGAATCTGGTGCAGAAGGATGAAGTTTGGGAAGATGGGTTTTGGCGGCGAAATCGTATTTTTTCCTACATAATCGAGTTTCTGCTCGATGGGTTTCTGTTAGGGGTCAATGAAACAAGTTTTGACGGTGGTGGGTGGTTGGAGAAGACGATGCGATTCCCTCTGTTTAGCGGTGGCGGCCGCGATTAGTGTGGCGGTGGAGAAGAAGGAGAAAAGAAGATGAAGAAGGCGTGCCCAATTTTATCTATTGTTATTTTTACTTTTTATTGCAATTATAATAGTAAATTAATAAGAAAGGAAACTTTCCAACTAGGATTGGTTTAAACAAAAAATCGCCACGTCACCAGAAAACGTTAGTACAGTCAGCATTTACAATGTTGCTGTTAAAGTTTTGGACGGAATGGCTATACGAGTGTATTTTTCAAAAAGTGGCTATATTTGTCACAACGCGAATAGTTATGGCTATGAAAGTGTATTTTGCCTTATTTTTGTCTATAACAAAATTACCTCTCACCATCCATGGCCTTTAGATCTACTATCCCTCGAACCTCAGCCATTGATCATAATTTTGCAGCCCAAAAAAAAAAGTTCCAAGGGATTTTGTATATGAACCTCCGCAGGTAGAACGTCTTAATATACACAGTTAATTAATGGGAAAAAGTATATATCTTTCGGCACCTAATTTTTGTTAAATTATTAGAAAGATATTCAACGGAAAAAATAGTTTTGAACGTCTTTTAGATATCAAATAATAAGTTAGACTTGATTAATAGAATCCTACAAATTTTTGTAGGTAAACTAAATCGGCAGATTCCCATAGTTAAAAAAGACATTCCTTTTTATCTCGGGTAAATAACTTCATTCTTGAACAATTAGGTGAGAAATCAACAGAGAGGCAATATAGTTAGTAAAATATGGTATTGATATCTGACAATATTAATACCTATGATTTATGAAGTTTTGTTTGTCATTGTAATATAATAATGAAATGATTTTGAAAGTATTACATTCATAAGATGTCATCAAATTATTTTGTCAAACATAACACATCATATCAACATCATATTAATATGATATCATACCATTATTCATGGTAATATCATGATATGATAATGGTATAATTAATGACTTGAAAATATTTTGTTCAAAAGATATATATCAAAATAAATATCATATTGTAACCATTGATTTTGTAGTTCTACAAAACGAGATAATTTTGTACCGTAAGTCAAATCTTATGAAAATATCAACACAAATTATTAAAAAATATATATATTAAACATTTTATATGTGTTTAATACAAGATACATCAATCAAACCGAGAATAATAAAGGCTATACCTGTAAGTGACGTTGCTGGTGAAGGAAAATAGCATCTCTCTGAGGTCGACGCCCTCCTCATCCCTCGCAGTTGCAGCGAGACGAATGCGGGAGATGAGAGAGGAGACCTCCTCCTCCCTGATAGAGCGGAACGAAGCAACGCGCCTGGCGCTGAGCAGCTCCACGATGCAGATCTTCCGCATCTGCCGCCAGTACTCCCCGTAAGGCGCGAAACCGATGTTTTTGCAGCCATAGAAGATGATTCTCGCGACCAAGATACTGGGCCTGGAAGCGAAGACTAAATCGTGGGTTTTCAGCACCAGTTTGGCTGCTTCTGGGGAGGAGATGACCACGTTGGTCACCTCCCCGATCTGCAGGCTCATAACGGGCCCGTATCTCTGGGCCAATTCCCTCAGCCGGATGTGGAGAGCTGGAACTCGACTGAACATCAGCTGATGGAGGTTCCCAATGATGGGCAGCTTCCATGGTCCTGGTGCTGCTGCTGCACTTCTCTTGGCGGACAATACTCGGCAGCCCCAAATGAAGGATGTTAAAAATAGTACAAGTGGGATAGCAAGCAGCGTCGGCGAGACGGAGGAGATGTGTATCATCATCATCCTCCAGTATTGCTCCATTAGTTATATTCTTTCCTTTCCCTTTCTTTCTTTCTTAAGGGGGTTTCTCTCTGTTTTTACTTGGTGTGTGTCTATTAATCTATCTCTCTCTATTCTTCTTGGTGTATTCCAAATCGAAAATGGCTGTTCTCTTTCTTCTTTTTTATAGGAAGATTGGAGGAGGGAAGGCAACAGTTGACTTCCGGCCACCAATGAGGGAATAAGAATCACTAAACCAAATTGTTTATTAGAGATAAATGATTCTCATTGTATTTTCTTATTTTCCCACTAACTTTCTGTTCCTGACTTTGTGGGAAGTGGCTAGCTTTCAGTTGCTACGTGTGCCTACTTTCCCTCTCCAATCTGTATATTAGTCTCACAACAACATCAATGAGAATCAAGTCAGATTTTCCACAATCCCCAAATCTGTATTCTGTTCACATGGTATCAGAGCAAGAAACAGTCATCTTGCCGATCCAGCTCTAATCCAATCACTTTTTCCGCAATCCCTCTGTTACCCTGTTTCGTTTACACTCCTCTGTTCCTCTGCTTTCCTCTTTCCATTATGTCTGGCTCAACTGTGTCTGCCAGCTTCGACCCCGTCGAAGAATCCACCATCATTACCTTCAATCCGGCTGCTCAATTGCCGCTGAAACTGACTCCAACAAATTTCAATTCCTGGCGATCACAGTTAGAGACTCTTCTGATGGGACTCGATCTCATAAGCTTCATCGATGGTACTGGTGTTGTGCCTTCTCTTACGGTCACCGTCGACAGCGCAACCAAACCCAATCCAGCCTACCGTCATTGGTTTCGGCAAGATAAGCTCATCTTGCACGCTCTCCGCTGCTCAATCTCTGAATCGTTATACTCCTTTGTGTCTGCCGCTGTAACCTCTCGAGAAGCTTGGTTGATTCTTGAGAAGCTGTACGCCGGCCGCTCTGGATCTCGAATCATCAATCTTAAAGGGAAACTCGCTCGAACGGTCAAGGGTGATCGAGATGTTCTTACTTATGTCAATGATTTGAAACAGATTGCTGCTGAGCTTGCTCTTGTAGGCAAACCCGTCTTTGATCTCGATCTCGTTGTCCACTGCCTTCGTGGGCTTGGCTCTGATTACAATCACTTCTCGGCGGCGGTGAGAGCAAGGGGAACAACCGTTTCCATTGAAGAACTCCTAGATTCCTTGATAGAATACGAAGCTGATCTCAAGGAGCAGTCCAGGATCACCACTGTGCCCACTGCCTTCTATTCCCATGCTCCGCCTCGTCGCAACGGTGGCAGCTCTGTCTCTCATGGTGGCGGCGGCTCTGCTTCTCATGGAGGAGGAGGCAGCTCTCGTTATCATCATCAACGAAACCACCAGGGTTTCCCTCATAATCTCAGTCCAACTCCGCAGGCACAGGCCCATTCATCAGGCGGCCCATCTTTTTCACATTTGTCTCAACCATCAGGCGGCCCATCCTTTTCCCATGAGCCCAACCGCCAGCGCAGGCCCTCTCTGGTCTGTCAATATTGTGAGAAGTCTGGACATTCAGTCCGCCAATGTTTCAGGCTTTTTCCCCAGCAGGGCCTTGGCTTATGGATACAGCAGCTTCACATCATGTGACTCCGGATTTGGGCCAATTATCATTATACTCTGACTATACCGGGCCCGATGAGATTCTTGTTGGTGACGGCTCAGGTTTGACAATATCACATATTGGCTCATCAAATATTTGCTTTGGTCCTGCTCAATTTCATTTACGAGACCTTTTATGTGTGCCTAATATCAAGCGACGCCTCATTTCGGTCGCCAAATTATGTCAAACTAATTCGGTTTCTGTGGAATTTTTTGCCACACATTTTCTTGTGAAGGATCTTCGCACGGGGGCGCATTTGCTGAAGGGGGAAAACAACGGTGATGTCTATGAACTGCCTAGGGAGGTGGAGAAAGTTCATTTGGCCTTGGTTACCATTCGCACATCGGCAACTTCCTGGCATGCTCGGTTGGGTCATCCCTCTCATCAATCTCTTACTAGTCTTCTTCGGTCATATTCTCTTCCAGTTTCGTCCTTCGTAGCAAGTTCTGCTTGTGATTCTTGTCTTTGCAATAAAAGCCATAAATTGCCCTTTTCAGTCTCTTCATTATCGAGTGAGCGTCCTTTTGATCTCTTGTATACAGATGTTTGGGGGCCAGCTCCAGTTTCTTCAATTGATGGTTTTTGCTATTACTTGATTATTATTGATCATTTTACTCGATATACTTGGTATTATCCTTTACGGCGTAAATCCGATGTTCTCCAAGTTTTTCTCGATTTCAGGAAAATGGTTGAAAATTATTTCTCTACTACCATTCGTCGTTTATACACTGATGGTGGTGGAGAATTTCAAAAATTACGTTCTGCTCTTCTTGACAATGGCATAACTCATCTTCTCACTCCTCCTCATACACCTGAACATAACGGTCTTGCTGAGCGCAAACACCGTCACTTGGTTGAAACTGGTATAACCCTTCTTCATCATGCTCACCTTCCTGTCTCTTTTTGGTCATTTGCTTTTTCCACGGCTATTTACCTCATCAATCGTCTTCCCTCCTCTGCTCTGCGTGGTAAAATTCCTTACACTCTTCTCTTCAATCTCTCTCCTAATTATCATAAACTTCGTGTCTTTGGCTGTCTTTGCTATCCCTGGCTTCGTCCATATTCTTCGCACAAACTTGACCCTCGTTCTCGTCCGTGTCTGTTCCTTGGTTATTGCCCTCAATGTAGTGCTTATCGGTGTTTTGATTCTAACACTCACCGTATATTCCTTTCTCGTCATGTCATATTTGTTGAGGATAATTTTCCAGGCTTTCCCTCCACTCCCTCCACTGAGCTTCCTCAGCCCGCTACCTGGCTATTTGATCTTTCTCCCACGGTTAATGTCCTCCCAGGCCGTTCATTGCGACACCCAGCAGCCACTGGGCCTCCCTTGGCCCATTCCCCTTCAGCGGATGTCTCTCCCCAGCAAGATTCTCCTCCGCCTGGGCCCTCCTCAGCACCCCGACCCACTTCTGCAGCAGTTTCACCTCCGCCTGGGCCTGTCACTGCCCCACGGCCCGATTCTCCGCCTGTCACACCTCAGTCTGGGCCTCCCCCGCCCCCCGGCCCACCGCCTCCACCTGTGCGCTCCCACAATATGCGCACGAGAGCCCAGTCAGGGATATTCCGGCCCAAGCGTCTTTTTCATGCTCATTTATCGGCTGGGCCTCCTCCTCTTCAGCCTCTCTCGGTCAAAGAGGCTTTGCAATTTCCAGAATGGGAACAGGCCCTTTCCGCTGAAAACAAGGCTCTCCTAGCCAATGGCACTTGGGACTTAGTCCCTCGCCTACCTCATTATAATGTTCTCGGCAATCGTTGGGTCTTTCGTGTTAAGCATCATTCTGATGGTGCTATTGAACGTTTCAAGACTCGTTTGGTGGCCAAGGGGTTTCATCAGCGTCCAGGGCTCGACTTTACTGACACGTTCAGTCCGGTTGTCAAGCCTGTTACCGTCCGTACTGTCTTCACCTTGGCTCTCTCTCAAAATTGGCCAATTAGTCAATTCGATGTCAATAATGCTTTCCTGCAGGCTCCCTTACATGAAGAGGTTTATATGGCTCAGCCCCCTGGCTTTGTTGACCCTGAACGCCCTACTCATGTTTGCCGTCTCCGGCGGGCTATTTATGGACTCCGTCAAGCTCCCCGGGCATGGTATACGGCTCTGACGGATTTTCTTCTTGAGTTCGGCTTCGTCAAAACGCATTCCGATGCCTCTCTCTTTGTTTATTCCCGCGGGAGTACGCTTCTCTATTTTTTGGTCTATGTTGATGATCTCCTACTCACCGGGAATGATACAGCTGTACTCTCCACTTTTCAAGAGGCCATCTCCGCACGGTTTTCTCTCAAGGCCCTTGGGGATGTGAATTATTTTTTGGGCATTGAAGTTATCCCCACCACAGAGGGGTATATTCTCTCCCAGCATAAGTACATGGTGGATGTTCTCCAACGTTTTCTGATGACTGATGCCAAGTCTGTTGATACTCCTCTTGCGGCTTCCACCTCTCTCTCTCTCACTGACGGTAGTCCACCCACGGATGCTACCCGATATCGCCAAGTCCTTGGGGCTCTACAGTATCTCGTGTATACGCGTCCGGATATTGCTTTCTCTGTCAACAAGCTCTCTCAGTATATGCATGCTCCGACGACGTATCATTGGCAATGTGTTAAGCGGCTCCTTCGCTATGTATCTGGTACTCTCTCATATGGTCTCTCCATTCGTCGGTCCTCTGGTCCACTCTCACTCTCTGCTTTTGCCGATGCTGACTGGGCGGGGAATCTCGATGATCGCTCCTCGACATCTGGTTATCTAGTTTATCTCGGCTCCACTCTCATCTCCTGGCGCTCGCAAAAGCAGCGAACGGTGGCTCGATCCAGCACTGAGGCCGAGTATCGCGCCATTGCCAATGCCACTGCCGAGTTGGAATGGGTTCAAAATCTTCTTCGTGAGCTTTGTCATCCACTGGCTAGTGCCCCTACACTCTACTCTGATAATCTTGGTGCTACCTACTTTAGCTCCAACCCGGTTTTTCACTCTCGTATGAAGCACCTGGCGCTTGACTATCACTTTGTTCGTCAGCTCGTCCAGGCTGGCCGGCTCCGTGTCTCCTACATTCCCACATCACACCAACTCGCCGATGCTCTCACTAAACCTCTACCATCCACTCGCTTTCTTCTACTTCGAGCCAAGATCGGAGTCGTTGATACCGCCTCCGTCTTGCGGGGGCGTATTAGAGATAAATGATTCTCATTGTATTTTCTTATTTTCCCACTAACTTTCTGTTCCTGACTTTGTGGGAAGTGGCTAGCTTTCAGTTGCTACGTGTGCCTACTTTCCCTCTCCAATCTGTATATTAGTCTCACAACAACATCAATGAGAATCAAGTCAGATTTTCCACAATCCCCAAATCTGTATTCTGTTCACATTGTTATCACTATACTCGATGGTAATTATGACGTATG